CTATAGGCTTGAGCCACCGCGCCCGGCCTCTTCTAAGATTTTTATGGTGTTAGGTCTTATGTTTAAGTCTTTAATCCATCTGGAGTTAATTTTAGTGTAAGGTGTCAGGAATGGGTCCAGTTTCTGCTTTCTGCACATGGCTAGCCAGTTTTCCCAAAACCATTTATTAAACAGGGAATCCTTTCCCCATTGCTTGTTTTTGTCACATTTGTCAAAGACCAGATGGTTGTAGATGTGTGGCGTTGTCTCCAAGGCCTCTGTTCTATTCCGTTGGTCTATATCTCTGTTTTGGTACCAGTACCATGCTGTTTTGATTACTGTAGACTTGTAGTATAGTTTGAAGTCAGGCAGCCTGATGCCTTCAGCTTTGTTACTTTTGCTTAGAATTGACTTGGCTATGTGGGTTCTCTTTTGGTTCCATATGAAGTTGAAGGTAGTTTTTTCCAGTTTTCTGAAGAGGGTCATAGGTAGCTTGATGGATAGTGTTGAATCTATAAATTACTTTGGGCAGTATGGCCATTTTCACAATATCGATTCATCCTAACCATGAGCATGGAATGTTTTTCCATCTGTTTATTTCCTCTCTTATTTCCTTGAGCAGTGGTTTATAGTTCTCCTTGAAAAGGTCCTTTACATCCTTTGTTAGTTGTATTCCTAGGTATTTTATTCTCTTTGTAGCAATTGTGAATGGCAGTTCGTTCTTGATTTGGCTCTCTTTAAGTCTGTTATTGGTGTATAGGAATACTTGTGATTTCTGCACATTGATTTTGTATCCTGAGACTTTGCTGAAGTGCTTATCAGTTTCAGGAGATTTTGGGCTGAGACGATGGGGTCTTCTAAATATACAATCATGGCATCTACAAATAGAGACAATTTGACTTCTTCCTTTCCTAATTGAATACCCTTTATTTCTTTTTCTTGCCTGATTGCTCTGGCTAGAACTTCCAATGCTATGTTGAATAGGAGTGGTGAGAGAGGGCAACCTAGTCTAGTGCCAGATTTCAAAGGGAATGCTTCCAGTTTTTGCCCATTCAGTATGATATTGGCTGTGGGTTTGTTGTAAATACCTTTTATTATTTTGAGGTATGTTCCATGGATACCTAGTTTATTGAGTTTACTGAGAGTTATTAGCATAAAGTGCTGTTGAATTTTGTCAAAGGCCTTCTCTGCATCTGTTGAGATAATCTTAATTCCTTTTTCATGCTTTTCACTTCAGTGAATCGACTAAATGATCGGAATCATGATTCCTCTTTTGAAAATAAACTATTTGAAAGTGTCTTGGGCTATCGAGTGTGGGATTGGCCAATGCTCTATGATATCTACCGTGTCCTGAGACTAGATTGTGTATTCCTTGATGCTCTGAACAATCATCTGAAAGCATTGTTGGCTGGGATTATTGATGGTTTTTCTAATGCCTAGCAAATTAGGATCTGTAGTGTTAATAAGAAGTTTGTTCTGAAATGAAATCTCACAGGTAGCTTAGTGTTTTGCTTTAAACCCTTTTGAATATGCATGAAAACAACAGGGAGCATTCTATAGTGTTCTCTCAAGACTCTGGATAACACTGCTTTTGTGTAGTTCCCTGATTCCCACAGCCCGAGTCATGCTTGTCAGTGCATTTAAAATCCCACCTTGGCCAGGCCCTATGGCTCACACCTGTAATCCCAGCACTTCGGGAGGCTGAGGCAGGCGGATCACCTGAGGTCAGGAGTTTGAGACTAGCCTGTAACATGGTGAAACCCCGTATCTACTAAAAATACAAATTTAGCTGGGCGTGTTGGTGGGCTCCTATAGTCCCAGTGCTTGGGAGGCTGAGGCAGGAGAATCGCTTAAACCCCGGAGGTGGAGGTTCCAGTATGCCAAAATCGTGACACTGTACTCCAGCCTGAGTGACAAAGTGAGACTCCCTCTCAAAAAAAACCCTCACCTTTTCCTCTGTCATAACGTTGATCCGCCTGAACTGTAACTACTGATCTCTAGCCCTCCTCATCTGTCTCTGGAATCTAATCTCACTGCGGTCAGGAGCTTTGCATCTCCAGCATCTAGCTCAGGAGAAACAGAATAATTAATGATGAGTTAATGAGTCCCCAGATTCTGGAAGCAAATATCATTGGCCCTGAAAAAGGACTTTACTTAGAGAGAGAGAGAGAGGAGAGAGAGAGGGAGGGAAATAGAGTGACATTAATCAGAGAGGTAGGAAAAGCACCAAAATAGTATTCTGTCATGGAAATCTAGGAAAAAGAGGAGAAATGTTTGAGGGGTTAGCAAATGCTACCCAGAGGTAAATGAGAATGAGAATTTAAAAAATGTTTTGGGATTTTTCCCAGTCATTAGTGGCTATAGATAGAATCAAGATCTCAAGGGATTAAGGAGAGAACGTAAGATAAGGAAATGAGGGCAGAAGGTTAAAAAAATATGCAAAGAAGTGAGGCCATGAAAGGCAGATTTGGAAGTGGTTGAGCAGAATGATAGAAAGGCAGTGTCCTCATGAGAGAGGAGAACAGTGTTCATTTGAGGGCAGAGATGGGAGATTCCTTCAGTGTCCACCTCTGGGTCCTCTGGTGTCTAAGCCATTTTCTTTGAATGATGTTGTTTCTTTTAACTCGTATCTTCCTTTTCCTGTAGGAAACATGGTAGAATGGTGCTTACCTCAAGATATTGACCTTGAAGGTGTTGAGTTCAAGTCTATGGCTAGTGGGTCCCATAAAATCCAGTCTGATTTCATGTAAGTACTTCCGAACTGGAGTCTTCTTTGTACCATTCCCCCCACCTCCACACTTTCCCCAAAGCAGAGGGGCTCTTGTTAGGAGGTGTTCATATGCTATGTATAAATGCCTTGAAAATACATGGATAGTTTTGTGTTTATATCATTTTTCTAGCGAGATGTCTAGCTTTCATCATGTTCTCAACAGGCTTCATAACCTAAAAATCTTAGGAATCCCTACCCGTGGAGGTTCTCTCACTTTCTCAGAAATTACATGGACCTCACTTGAGGTTTGGTTTTAATGAAAGTGTGCAGTTTCAGCCCCGTGTGAGTTAACCGAGGACATCTAAGTGCTCAACCTTGAAATTCCAGCTTTAAGTAAGGCTATTTTTTAGTCCTGTGCAGTGGGGTATTGGAGAGTTTTGTGAGAAGGAACAATGGAAAGAGCTTAAGGGTAATGAAGTGGCTTTAATCTCCTCATGGGGCTGAATTCATGACTGATACAAGTGTGAGAAAGAGGAGGAAATAAAATGGCAGCTCAGTTAAAAATATCAGAGCCTCAGGAAGTAAGGGAAGAATCATTGTGGTTTATGCTATGAAAGAGAGTCCTAGTTCCAGAGGAGCCTGAAGAGGAATGTTGGTTCTGCTTCTCCCATCCAAGTCATTAGTTGTGGCGCAGGAGAGAAGAAATGTGTCCATGATCGTGGGCGGCCAAGCAGCAACCTTGCCAGGACCAAGTCCCAGCTCCAGCCAGGTGACCCTTGGCAAGTCCTGTAATCTCTTCAGGCCTTGGTCATCTCACTGGTGAGGTCAAGTGAGTTGGCCTACGTGTTTCCTTGAGGCTGAGCTTTGTCATTTACAGCCCCAGACAGAGAGTTCATTGGTTTTGTTTAGGATTATATCTCAACATTTCTCTCTGATACTGAGCTACACTACACATTTGGTCTCTTCTAGCTATTTCCGAAAGGGGCCCTTCTTTGGCCTGGCCTGCTTTGCCAACATGCCCGTGGAGAGCGAGCTGGAACGTGGCGCGCGGATGAAGTCTGTGGGCATCCTCTCTCCCTCCTACACGCTGCTTTACCGCTACATGCACTTCTTGGAGAACCAGGTTCGGTACGTGGCTTCCGTACATGTGCAGGGAGGCAGCAGGATCCACCAGCTGGTGCATATGGCGCTGGCCCTTGGAGACAGCACTTGTGTGCCAGAGCAGCAGATGTCTTTCCAAGAACATCCATGGCGAGGTTTGGTGCCTCGGGTGGTATCCTTTCATTTCAGCCAATGCCCTGCATGATGATTCTTCATTCTATAATGAAAGCTGGGCTATATTCTACCTTCAGTTTGGATTTAATACTGCCATCACTTTTTAAAATTAAATCATTTGTTGACAGGTACATGATGTTTGTTTATGCAAAACCACAATAGTTATCTCCTTGCCCTAGATAGGCAAAGAAATCCTAAACTTTTTAAAAGCCTACTCCTTTATTATTGGGATTTTTTTTTTTTTTTTTGAGACAAAGACTCCCTTTGTCGCCCAGGCTAGAGTGTAGTGGCATGATCCTGGCTCACTGTAACCTCCACCTCCCAGGTTCAAGCGATTCTCATGCCTCAGCTTCCCAGGTAGCTGGAATTACAAGTGCCCAACACCATGCCCAGCTATTTTTTGTATTTTTAGTAGCAATGGGGTTTCACTGTGTTGGCCAGGCTGGTCTTAAACTCCTGACCTCAAGTGATCCACCCACCTCAGCCTCCCAAAGTGCTGGCATTACAGGAGTGAGCCACCGTGCCAAGCTTATTGGGATTCTTATTATGATTGGGATAATCAAAAGAGAACTTAAAAAGGTGTTTTTTTGTTTGTTTGTTTGTTTGTTTTTTTGTAGAGACAGGCTCTTAACATATTGCCCAGGCTGGTCTTGAACTCCTGGAGTCAAGTGATCCTCCCATCTTAGCCTGCCAAAGAGCTGGGATTATAGGTGTGAGCCAAGGTGCCTGGCATAGGAAGAGAATTTTTAACAAGCAGCAAAATGATTAGCTACTTTACATTTTTTTCGTTGTGCAAGTAACCTAATTACATTTCAGATTTTGAGGGGAAAATTTATCCCTCATCCCTAAAGCACTGATAAAATGTTACCACTTCTTTTCTGTTTATGCATGTTCATTTAAAATATGTATTTGCCACCACACAATAGATATACTCTTTTATAGCCTATGCTTTTAAAATTTATCAGTATTCAAACATTTTTATGTAACATAATTGTGATCTTCAGCTTTGAAAGTATGAACTTTATTGTTTGTGGAAAAAAACATGTTTATTTAAACATTTATGTGTTTATTAAAATTTTTGTGAAAGTACAAAGAATTTTTAAAAATTCTCTCAAATATTAACACAGATATCCATTGACAGTATTCCGTGAATGTCATTCTAGAGTAGAAATACCTTTACAAAAGTAGGATTAATATTTTATAGATTTAATTTTTTCAAATAGGCGGTGTTAATGAAATATATTAAACATTTTACTTATAACTTCAAGTAAACATTTTTTCTCAATAAGATATACTATTACTTGAAATATTCCTCCAAAATTAAGAAAGATTATGAAAAACATGATAGTATGATTTTATTCTTGTAGTAGCTCACTAAAAGCATACAAGGGGCAGTCAACACACACCAGCATTCTATTTCCAACTGCTTTCCCTAAAGCTGCAAATTCAGGCGACACACGGTCTGTCTCCCCTTATGGAAATTTATTTTTATTTTTTTATTTTTATTTTTTGAGACGGAGTTTCGCTCTTGTTACCCAGGCTGGAGTGCAATGGCACGATCTCGGCTCACCGCAACCTCCGCCTCCTGGGTTCAGGCAATTCTCCTGCCTCAGCCTCCTGAGTAGCTGGGATTACAGGCACGCGCCACCATGCCCAGCTGATTTTTTGTATTTTTAGTAGAGACGGGGTTTCACCATGTTGACCAGAATGGTCTCGATCTCTTGACCTCGTGATCCACCCACCTCGGCCTCCCAAAGTGCTGGGATTACAGGCGTGAGCCACCGCGCCCGGCCTCCTTATGGAAATTTTAGCAGATGTTTTGCTACAAGTGTAACAAAGGTTTCCAGCTTTTCTTGTTGTTGTTGTTGTTGCCCAGGCGGGAGTGTGGGAGTGCAGTGGCATGATCTCAGCTCACTGCAACCTCCGCCTCCTGGGTTCAAGTGATTCTCCTGCCTCAGCCTCCTATGTAGCTAGGATTATAGGCACATGCCACCACACCTAGCTAATTTTTTTATTTTTAGTAGAGATGGAGTATCGCCATGTTGGCCAGGCTAGTCTCTAACTCCTGACCTCAGATGATCTGCCCGCCTCGGCCTCCCAGAGTGCTGGGATTACAGGCCTGAGCCACTGCACGCAGTGGGTTGGCAGCTTTCTAGCCTGCAATATCTATTTTCTCACCATTCTCCTCTTCCAGCTACAAAGCCAGTGCCTCTATATGGTTTTTGATACTGTAATAACTCATTTCTAGGTATCATTTTTGGCTTTAACTAGAGTATAAATTGCTGTAACAAAGAGATGCCCAATACAGTGACACAGTAAGACAAAATTACAACTTTTCTAGCATGGCAGTTGTAATAGTTCATTGTGGGTGGGTGGTTCTGTTCCACTGGTCATTCTTGGACCCAAGTCATTCAGTCTTATGTCATTTTCTGTAGTGTTGTCCTCATCCACATGGTAGAAGCTGTCTCATCATTACAATGTCATTTTCCAGCCTGTAGGAAGAAGGAAAGACCTGGGCTTAGTGGAATGTGACCAGTTCTTGGTTACTAGGCACACATAGAAGCAAGGGAATCTGGGAAATGTGGCCTTTAGCTGGGTGTCCATGTGTCCATCTAAAATTTGGAAGGTTTTATTACTAAAGAGGAGTGTAGCAGATTACCACTCACATAAAGTGAAAGATCTTCACCCAGTTTCCATATCCATTCAAATAATCCCAGTAATCACAATTCATTTCTCATGTATCATCCAAAAGTGTGAGTATGTATACACAAATACAAATGTATATTCTTATTGTCTCCCTTTTTCTTGCAAAAGATAGCATGTTATTCATGTTATTTTGCACCTAGCCTTTTTCATTCGATAGTATGACAGATCTCATATCAGTACATTAAGAATTTCTTCCTTGTTTTCAGCCATGTCATATGCCTTGTATAGAAGAATAGCACTTTATTTATCAAGCTCATTATTGATAGACATTGGGTTTTTTCCTGTCCATTTCCCGCTACAAATGATGCTGCATTGAATATCATGCATTTCACACGTGATGGGTTTATCTGTATATTAAATTTTCAGAAATGAAATTGATGCTTCAAAGGATATGTGTATATGTAATTTTAACTTTAATAGATCCTGTCAAATTGCTTCCCATAGAGGTTGTGCCAGTTGCATGCCCAGCAGTAGCACAAGAGAATGCCTGTTTCATCGCAGCATCCCCAACACAAAAATGAAAGTTTGGGAGTTTGGACATTCTAACCCGATGGATAAGAACACAGTACCTCAGTATAGTTTTAATTTGTATTTTTCTTATAAGTGAGGTTGAACCCCTTTATATATGTTTGAGTTATTTGTATTTCTTACTCTGTGAACCATTTCTAGCCTTTGCTACATTTTGTTGTTTACCTTTTCGTATTTCTAGGAGTTTGTAGGATAGGGAAATTTGTTCTTTGTGATATAAGTTGAAAATACTTTGCCACTTTGTCATCTGTCTTTCAACATTACCTTCTTGTCATGTAGGTGTTTTTCTTTGAATTCATTAATCTTTTTATGGCTTCTAGATTTTGAGTCATAGCTAGAAAGGTTTCGCAGCTTGGTGATTAAAGAGGTTATAGGTAACATAAGAGGTTATAGGTAACATAACACTTGTATGACAGAGTATGAGGAAAAGAAAGAAGCACAGTTAGATAAGCTCAGGTCTAGGCTGGGATAATACTTGACTGCAACAGTAACTTTTACACAAATTCACTAATCTTAATTTCTGCAACACGTAATCTGTGTTTTATATTTCTTCTGACTTGTGATGTTCCAAATCTATTTGTATTTCATCTACAACTTTTGCCCTCAATATCTCTCTGAAGAGTCTTCTTAATTATTTCTTATTAATCAGAAGATATTGGAGAACTATTTTATAATTGAGAAATTAAATTAGAAAAGGCATGAGGGACTGTTATTACATAATGGGACCTGTGACTTGTAACCACATTTTACCTTACTCAGATCTCAGTTTAAACAAACCAACTGTAAACTAGCATCTGGGGGAGAACGGCTATATTTTGAACGTGGACTGGATATTAGTTTATATTAAGGCATTATTCTTGTTAGGTGAGATCATGGCACGGTGGTTTTGTGTTACATTATTTAAATAGACCTCATCAGTTAGAGATGCCTTACAAAGCAGTTATCAGTAAATGTAATGATGTAGGATTTTCTTTAAGACATTCTAGGAAAAAAGTGATGGTAGGGTATAGATATAACCATATCGATCAAATATTGATTATTGTTGAAGCTAGATGACAAATACATGGGGTTCATTATTCTCTTCTTTCTACATTTTGTGTATATGTTTCAAAATGTTCATAGTGAACAGTTTAAAATGACTAAATATAAAATTAACCTATACAGTAGCTAGTTATTATGGGAAACTTTAAAAATAGAGAAAAGCTCAAAGAAAAAAATGATGTCACCAGCCAGACCTATCTACTGTTAACATTGTGTTTTATATCCTTCTAGTATTTTCCCAGGTGCAAATATATGTTATACATAAACATTTTATTTTCTTAAAGAAAGGGTTATTGAGATCATTCAGTACGTAAATTTTGTAACTTGGTATGTTAACCTTTCTGGTGTATCATGAATTGTAGTTTTCAACATTATTGTGGTTTCACAGCATTTTAGTATATAGATATATCACAGTGTATTTAACTGTTTCAGTGTTGTTGGGCTTTCAGTTTGTTCGTTATTTTTTTCACCACTGTGAACATCAGTATCCTTGTGAGTAAATGCTGTTTGCATCTAGAAATAGTTCTTTAGGCCACAGTCCAAGAAGTAGAATCATTGGATCAGAGGGCATATACAGTGTATAATTTAATACAGACTGTAAGTTACCTTTCAGAAGGTGGTGCCATTTTATCCCTGCTCCAGCAGTAAATGGGAGTGCTTATTTTTCTGCATTTGCTAAGCCAGGAGCTAGAAGGTGATTTGTTCAGAGAGAAATATATATGTATTGATTCGTTCATGTATATATGTATACACACATATATACACATGTATAAATACACACACACACACACACACACACATTTTGAGACAGAGTCTTGATCTCTCACCCAGGCTGGAGAGCAATGGCATGATCTTGGTTTACTGCAACCTCCGCCTCCTGGATTTAAGCGATTCTTGTGCCGCAGCCTCCCCAGTAGCCGGGATTTTTAGTAGAGACAAGGTTTCACCATGTTGGCCAGATTGGTCTCAAACTCCTGGCCCCAAGTGATCCACCCACCTCAGCCTCCCAAAGTGTTGGGATTACGGGCATGAGCCACCACGCCCAGCCTGTTCAGACCAATAATTAAGACACCAGAGTGATGAAGTGTAATTGCTGCACAGAGGCATCTCTGATTCTGACCATGGATGAATTATTGCTAGTGTGGTAGGGACAGACAGGGTCAGTTGCAATCTGCATGGCCATATATGACTGTGTTTTTTCAGTGAAGGAGCTGTGTGCATAAGAGGAACCCCAGTGTCTCTGGCCCAGCAGCCTGGAGCGTCAGATTAATAATAGATATTGAGCCAATTATTCTCTCGTTTTTAGTGCGTCATGGCTCTTGGACGGTTTCCTTAGGTGGTTTGGCATGCATTTCAGTGTGTTGGTTTCTTGATCTCTGCATTCTTGCAGGTAAGTTCACCAGGAAGGGCTCCTTTGACATCATCTTTGAAGACTAACTTATCATCAAGCACTCTGAGCCTTGCTTCAATACTTCTCGGTTTTTCTTGATATTGTGGTTTGACAATCTTGTTTGTTGCAACATCTGTAGTGTGTTTAAATGTTGAGGCTTTCATACAACAGTCACTTAACATTCATCCAGGAATTGCCAACTTGTATTTGTGTCTGTGTTCAGAGTCCATATTCCATATTATTGCCTTGTTCTGTCCTATCAGTCAGTAATATCTGAGGTAATCAAAGGACAGAATTCTCTTATTAGCTCTTTGTCTAAAAGACTCCAACTTTAGTACTGAACTTGTTTTTAGAATCTTGGTTCAAGTATGCAATTTAATATAGTCAAACACAAAAGACAGCAACTCAGCAAACAATAAACCAGAAAATGAAAAAATGTTACCCTTGACAGAGCCCCCTTTAACAGAAGATATAGTATTAAAAATATAATAAAATGATTCTCAATGTTCTTTTTAGGGAAATTCCATCCTAATGAAAACACCTTTGAACATAGTTGCCTTTGTGTGATTTTCTGTGAATCAAACTTTCATCAGTTTAACGAACATCCCTAAAAAGTATCTGAAATCTGCCATCTTCTCGGAATAGTCAGACACAGCTTAGCCACCACGAGTTTCTTATCTAGCTCATGATCATTTGTAAAAGTGAGCTAAATGATTATAAGCACCCTCCTCCCAACTAGTTATTTGTTATTTTATGACATCACTACCTCTTTGTCAAAGCTTAAAATGTATAGGAGCCCTGAAATTGGAGCTATCATCCATCTTATGTTAGTAATCATTATATGAATATTGTGATGATTTTTGTTTCTTTTTAAAATACAAATTTGTCTGAAGGTCTCTTGTCATCGCTTTGTCATAAGAGCTGTGAATCACTCTGGAGTGGAGATGGGTGGAGAATAGCATGCTATAGTTGGTCGATGAAAATCTTGACTCTGAGCAGTTTGTGGCATAGTTTGGAGTAAGCCACAGTGGCAGTTTGCAGAGGCAGCGTGGCAGCGGGGAGTGCCTATTTTTAATCACTGCTGTTCCAGGGCCAACCATAATTAGGGATGTTTCCCTTGCTCAGTGAAGCTATATTTTGCTTTTTGTTCATTGATTGATGGAAATTGTAGAACACTGAGAAAATAAAGATGGGCTAAAAGGGTTTTGGCGCCTTCTCTTCCTCCCTCAAGTAGGGCTTTTCCGGGGCTGCATAACAAAGTGCCAAAGACTGGGTGGCTTAAAACAGCAGAAACATAACTGTCTCACAGTTCTAGAGGCTGGAAGCCCAAAGTCAAGGTCTCAGCAGTGTGAGTTCCCTCCGAAGCTGTGTGGGAGAATCTGTTCCAGGCCTCTCCCCTAGCTGCTGGTAGATGCTGGCAATCTTTGGGGTTCCTTGGCTTGGAGATGCACCATCCCAGTCTCTGTCTTCATGTTCACCTGCTGTTTGCCCTGTGTGTGTGTCTCTGTCCAAATGTCCCCCTTTCTATAAGGACAGCGTTCATATTGGACTAGGGACCATTCCAGTAACTTCATTTGAACTTGATTACCTATGTAAAGATGCTATCCAAATACGGCCCTATTCTGAGTGAAGTACTGGGACCCCATCTTTTTTGTGGGGACAAAATTCAACCTATAACACCCCCATTAAACAGAGACAGTCCCCACAGTGCTCCTGTGTTCCACTCAGGGGCAGGATTTTCCGCTGTCCAAATGGCCCAGCATGTTGGTGCTGCCTGCTGGGTTCTGGAGTCTGGGATCAGCTAGCTAGGCCAGCCACAGCCAGGCTCTGCAACCCAAGCTGGTGGGGCTGGCAGAGAAGAGATTCCGATGCCTTTTATTTCTTTATTGTTATACTTGATGCACAAATTATGAGCCCTGGTGACATCCAATAATAATTGTTTTTGCTGATTTGAGACATTGGGAGTAAGCTTCTCAGTATTCTTCTACAACAACAAAGCAAGCAGGCAAGCGTGAGTTCGCTAAACAAAGAGCGGCTTTAAGCAGGGGATTTTAGGCTTCCAAGCTGGCCCTTCTCACAGGAAGCAGCCATTCTCTGGGAAGTGGCACCCAGTCTCCGGCGTACCTTGCTTAGGAACAGTAGACATTAGTCATAGTCTGTTAATTCTGTCTGTTTCCCATGAGAAAAAGAATGTGTTCCATGGTGCTGTCAGGGAGTTTCAGGCCCATGTTTGAACTTTTCCTAAGGATCCTCTGTAGCATCAAAGGAGGTGACCTAAGCAACCTCCAGATGGGGATCTTTGGAGTATGTCAGGGCCTTTGCCGTGAGTGTTATGGCCTTTGCGAGGGGAAGGGGTAGAAGTGGGAGCAGAGCTGTGACCAGGTCTGTTCTCACTGTGTGTGCGCGCACGCATGTGTGTGCATGCATGCATGCATGTGTTTTTCTGCAGGCATCAGCTGGAGATGCCAGGACATTACTCTCATCTGGCTGCCTTCTACGAGGACAAAAAGGGGGTGCTCCATGCTGGTCCTGGAAGAGGCAGCAGCCTGCCACCTGTCTACTGGTTGCCTTCTATCCACCGATACATGTACCCTGAGATGAAGGTGAGGTTAGCCGTGCTCTTCTTACATGATACTGATCTGTATCTGGGAATAGTAGCTGTTGATTAATTTTTAATGAATAAAAAAAGTATGTCTTTGGATCATACAAAATATCTGCTTTTGATAGAGTTGCAGCATAAGCATTTGGGTTTGTTTAAAACATAAGGCAAGTTATCTTAAACAATATGCTTTCTAGACACTTCTGTAATCATTGTATTAAGGTGAGTATGATAGGCGAGTTGTGAAAAGATGGATTTAATTCTGTTAATTTCTTCTGTTATTTTAACACTAGACATTTGAACTAAAGATGAAGCGAAGCGCTTGATGAATAAGTATGATATTTCTTAGTTAAGATACTTTTAATTTTACTTCATTTTGTATTTGTTTCTGAAGTACTTTGGCTTTGGTACGAGAATATGCCTGTTTACAGTTAGCAAAACCCCCAGTGAAGCGTTAGGTGTCGGAAGGGTGCAAATATGACTAAGAACATGAATCTCCTCTTTCTCTTCCTTCTCCTTCCCCTGTGGTTGGTCACAAGATATTTCCATGGAAACCTAGGGCTCCCCTGGTAGAGAAATTATGCCAAGAGCCCAGGGGAGAACTCTGGGAGATGCCTTGGGAGAAGACACGGCCCCTGGGTATTTGCCTAGGTGGAAAGTGAGAAATGCTGATTCCAGAACCAGGAAAGGTGTGAACAGCAGTGAGAACCATGGTCTGTCACTTTCTCAGCACCTTCTGGGGAGTTAGGCATTGTGCCAGCTATTTCTCTATACTTGTTGCAGCATTCTTTAAAGTAAATGTTTTTTTAATCCTTTTTTTTTTTTTTTTTTTTTTTTTTTGTGTGTTTTTTTTTTTTTTTTTTTTTTTTTTTTTTTTTTGGCGGAGACGGAGTCTTGCTTTGTCGCCAGGCTGGAGTGCAGTGGTGCAATCTCAACTCACTGCAACCTCGCCTCCCGGGTTCAAGCGATTCTTCCACCTCAGCCTCCCAAGTAGCTAGGACCACAGGTGCATGCCACCATGCCCAGCTAATTTTTGTATTTTTAATAGTCACAGGGTTTCACCATGTTGGCCAGGATGGTCTCAATCTCTTGACCTCATGATCCACCTGCCTCAGCCTCCCAAAGTGCTGGGATTACAGGCGTGAGCCACCGCGCCTGGCCTTAACCCTTGTTTCCCAGCTAAAGCAACCAAGGCTTATAAAGGGCTAGTGACTTGCTTTAGGCCTTTTTTGAGACGGAGTCTTGCTCTGTCACACAGGCGGGAGTGCAGTGGCACAATCTCAGCTCACTGCAACTTTTGCCTCCTGGGTTTAACTAATTCTCCTGCCTCAGCCTCCTGAGTAGCTTGAATTACAGGCACCTACACCACGCCCAACTAATTTTTTTATTTTTAGTAGAGACAGGGATTTCACCATCTTAGCCAGGCTGGTCTTGAACTCAAGTGACCTGCCCGCATTGGCCTGCCAAAGTGCTGGGATTACAGGTGTGGGCCATCGCGCCCAGCCTGCTTTAGGTCTTATAGCTAATAGGAGATAGAGCCAAGATTTAAACAGAGGTCTGGTGCCACAGCCAGTGCATGTTTCCCGCCCCACTCCACTGTCCTTACAGAGATATGGACATGGAAAAACACAAGTTCATGGGACATGAGCAAACTAGTTTGGCTGGGATTAAATGTTTGTCAGCTGGCCCTGAGAGAGATGATTGGAGAAATAGGTTGGAATTAGATTGTAGAGAACCTTTAATAGTAGACTTGGAACTTGAATCCTAATAAATACTAATTAGAGACTTACTGGGGGAAAAAAAGACCATGCTAGATAATTCAAACTAATTTAATATAGGAAATCAGTAATATAGGAGTTGGAAGGCTGAAGGAGTAAAAAAGGAGTGGGTAACCAGTATATTAGTAATTATAGCTAATAGCCTAACACCCTGTAGTCTTCTATTGCTGTGTAACAAATTATACCCCAACTAATGGTTTTAAAGTATTACATATTTATTATTTCACAGCTTCTGTAAGTCAGGAATCCCAGCATGGCTTAACCAGGTTCTCTATGTCATAATCTGTCATGAGATGGTATCAGCCAGGGTTGGGGGCTCATCTGAAGGTTTGACTGGGAAGGTATCGACCTCTAAGATCATGTGGGTGTTGGCAAGATCAAATTTCTTGAGGGCTTTTTTGAACTGAAGGCTTCAGTACCTTGCTGGCTGTTAACTGGGGGCTTCCCTCAGTTCTTAGCCACATGGGTCTCTCCAGTATTCGGGCTTGCCTTATCTAAGCCAGTAAGAGAGTATACTAGCAAGACGGAAGTCAGAACCCTTTGTAACCTAATCATGGAAGTGACAGCCTGCAATGTCACCATATTTTCTTAGAAGCAAATTACTCAAGAGGAAGAGAGGATTGCATAAGGCTGTAAATACCAAGAGGCGGGGATCACTGGGGACTATCTTAGAGGCTGCCTGTCACCCTCCCCTAGGGTTGGAGTAACAAAGCAACAGAAGCCGCGTGATCAAAATCATGGGAGCCACAGGATGGGTCCCTGCACAGCCAGTGCTCAGATCTCTGAGGGAGGCACTATGTATCTATGCCGGAACCTCTCAGGAGGTGTGGCTCCACCTGTGCGCACAGCAAAGGAACGCTGGAGGCTGGAGTCACAGGTGTCTTCTGCTGCTGGAGAAATACTAGCCAGAGAAAGAAACTGAAGAGATTTCCTTCTGCCTTTCAATCTGCAGTCCTTGCTCTCCATTGAAGAAATCTAACAGGAAGCCAATTGGCATGTGAGTTTAGGAAATGTCATTTGGAGGTTTCCCCAAGCCCATAGCATAGGCTGAGAGACAGTCATTAAGAAATGGTCAGAGGGCCATTAGAGGTACTCTGGGCTTGCACTGACCTGAGTCCTGTTTTCTTTCTGTCTGCTTATAACTTGGGCCCATTTTTCCCTTCAGAGTTAAATTTCTGTTGGAATTATCAACAAATACACAGGGAGGTGACCAGCATCTGACCTAAATGTACGTGTATTCCTTCCCGTAAGAGTCCAGGGATGAGGAACTAAGGGAGAAAAAGAAAATTGCCTATGCTTTTGAAGATAGCTCACGAACATACCTGTTAGACCCCAGGAGATTCAGGGAAAAGGGTACTATCATGGTTGCAGATAGAAATGTGGAGAGTCTTCTTTCTGAAAAACAGTTTGTCAACACATCAACATAAAAAGACATGGCCGGGCGTGGTGGCTCACGCCTGTAATCCCATCATTTTGGGAGGCCAAGATGGGCAGATCACTTGAGGTCAAGAGTTCAAGACCAGCCTGGCCAACATGGTGAAACCCTGTCCCTACTAAAAATACAAAAATTAGCCAGGCGTGGTGGTAGGCACCTGTAATCCCAGCTATTCGGGAGGCTGAGGCAGGAGAATTGCTTGAACCTGGGAGGCAGAAGTTGCAGTGAGCCAACATCATACCACTGCACTTCAGACTGGGTGACAGAGCAAGACTTCGTTTCTAAATCAGTCAGTCAAACATGTGGCTTTTGTCTTAGCAGCGTCATTCCATGGGATCTATCCACCAGAATGATATATGTGAAACATTATTTAATTCAACATTGTTCACCGTGGTAGAAAACTAGAAAGGCTATGTATTAAAAGCCGTGGTGAATAGTGAATTAGAGCATAAGAAGGTGACATGGAAGGACCACAGCTCTAATTTGTGTGAGAATAGCAAGGTGCAGAAAACTCATCATCCCTTGGTATCTGCAGGGCATTGGTTCTAGGTGACCTTCCTCAGATACCCAAATCTGCAGATGCCGAAGTCCCCATATAGTAGGGTGTAGTATGTGCATGTAACCTATGTACTTCCTCCCATATACAGATGCTCCTCAACTTACCGTGGGGTTCCACCCCATAAGCCCATTGTAAGTTGAAAACATTGTAAGTCAAAAGTACACTTAATGCTGGCCACGCAGCAGGCAGTCCCTGACTTATGATGGTTCCACTTAATGTATGATTTTTCGACTTTACGACGGTGCAGAAGCAATGCACATTCAGTAGAAACCATAATCCCATTAAAGTCTTAAGGAACTTCTTGACTTTCCATGGGGCTACATCCTAATAAACCCATCATACAGTTGAAAACGTGATAAGTTGAATCATGGTAAATCTGTGCTTTAAATCATCTCTAGATTGCTTACAATACCTCATACAATGTACATGCTATGCAAATAGTTGTTATACTGTGTTTCTTTTTTACATGTATTTTTTTATTATTTATTTTTCCAAGTTTTTTTGATCTGCATGCAGTTGGCTGAATCTGAGGATGTGGTATCAGGGATCCATAGGGCCAGCTGGCTGTATATGTGATATGATTACACTGTTGTTAAACAGTCACAGTCTTTGTTTAGATAGAGACACATACACACCCAGACACAAACATGGAAGCTGTTGATGGGTGTATATGAGGTTATTAAGACATGTATTCCCTGGGATGAGGTAAAGTATGGGACGGGGTAGGGTAAGGCTTATATGTATAAAAAAGACAGGGGCCAGGAAAAAAAAAAGACATCACTTAAAAATAGCACATATGATATAATAATACTTGTCATGTATGGAAAATAATGTGTATGTGTGTATATATATATATATATATATATATATATCTTTAAACTTTTTATTGAAATATAACACTTTATAGAAATAAGTTAAAAAATCATATGTATATAATTAAATGAATTTTTACAACATCAAGACATGTATAAATGAAAACTTCAGTCCAGGCGTGGCTCAAACCTGTAATCCCGGCACTTTGGGAGGCTAAGGCAGGTGGATCACGAGATCAGGAGATTGATATCAGCCTGGCCAACATGGTGAAACCCTGTGTCTACTAAAAATACAAAAATTAGCTGGGCGTGGTGGTGTGTGCCTGTAATCCCAGCTACTCGGGAGGCTGAGGCAGGAGAATTGCTTGAACCCTGGAGGCGGAGGCTGTAGTGAGCCAAGATCGTGCCACTGCATTCCAGCCTGGGTGACAGAGCAAGACTCCATCTCAAGAAAAATAACTTTAAAGAAGTAAGCTTTTAATGTAGGAGTCAGATATAGGAATGTTTCCGAGGGAAAAAAATAAACTGGAAAGGAACCAGAGGGAAGAAGAAGACCTCTCTGAAAGGTCCAAATGCGGCAGCTAAATGCTTCCCTTGGGAAAATGGGGGAGTGGAAGGGGGATATAGGGGAGGAGATTGGGCCCCAGGCTGGAGGGCTTCCCCAGTGGTAGGCATCAGAGCCTACTATGGAGACTGAGCTGACAGTGGTTAGGGAGTGAAAAGAGGCTAGAGTGTGGACTTGAAAGGTTGGAGAGAAAACATGAAGGCACGCGCTGGAGGCATCAAGAAAAGAGAGTTACCTGTAAAGCCACAGAGAAACAAGGCTGAAAAAAGGGAAAGATTCAAATGAAAGCAGGAGAGATTTCTGTTGCATGTGCAGTGAGCCTGGTAGAGTGAAGAGGGTTAAGAAGTCTCTTGAGCTGACTGTTGGAAGAGAGGAGGTAGCCCTGTGCTGGCTGCCTGCTTTGCTTCCCTGGTGTGGGCCTGGACACAGGACCTGAACTACTTGCAGGTCCCAAGAAGGGCCATGTTCCCTCTTACCTGCATCCTTTGTGTGTGAACACCTTCCCTCGGATTCATCTTTATGTCAAAGCTTCAACATCACTTCCTCCGGGAAGTCTTTTTTGTCTCTCCTAGAATGGGATTAGGCACCGTCCGGTTTGCTCCCCCAACCCCCATTCTTCTCACATCACGGCTCCCATCAGGCTATATTTTAAAAGCTTGTTTGCCTGTTTCTCCCACTAGCCTATAAAATAAACATTGTGTGAGCCCCACCTGGCCTCCGTGTAGTGGAAGAACAAGTTGGGTGCTTGAAGATAAGCAGTGGAAAAGCTGGGAGGAACCGGGCGTGCTTCGGCGCCCTTTCCTTTTCTGGTTGCTGTTAGACTTTGATGAGAGACAGTGATTGGAGGGATGGGACCAGCCTTGGTCACTTGATGCCTCTCCTCCTCACGATTTGGGATGTGGTGGCAGAATAGTAGGCATGGGTGGCAAACGGCATGCCCAGCACAGGGTCACCTTTATCCTGGCATGTGGTAGGGGAATGGTATCAGTGCAGGAGTGGCGCCTTGGAAAGGGAAATCCTCTTCGGGTGGTGTAGCCACGTCTTCGGAAGGCCCAGGACAGCCCTGGCCTGGACAGGCAGAATGCAGAGGCTGCCTCAAGGCTCGGGCATAGGTGCCCCCAAAGGCTGGTAGTTGTGAAACCCTAGCCTGCAGCCCGGGAGTCGGTGCCTCTCTCAGAAGTGGTCTTGCCTATCTCCCTTACATCTGACACATCAGCATGGAAGTGACCTTTCACAAAGCTCACGAGGCACAGGGTTTGAAGCCTTTCTGTTTTGCCAGTAACAGCAGTGGTTGCCCCATATTGGCTATTTTTATGTGCTATGTCATGTTTTGTCTCAGGCAGTCCTTAAAACCCTATGAGGTAGGTGATGGTTCCTTATTTCACAGTTAAGGGTAGAGAACCGGTAACATGAGCGAACTTTCCCCAGATCTCCCTGTTAGTGAGTGGCAGTGCCGGGGTTGGAATTCAGCTTTTCCTGCGATCAGAGCTTATGCTCTTAACCCCTCTGATACTCCTTGGCACAGGGTTCCTGGAAGGCAATTCAGGGGTTGCCAGACCTGAGCAGTCAGTGTCGGAAGGAAGAGTGGGGCCAGCCGCGGTGGCTCACGCCTGCAATCCCAGAACTTGGGAGGCCAAAGTGGGCGGATCACTTGAGGTCAGAAGTTCAAAGCCAGCCTGGCCAACATGGTGAAACCCCGTCTCTACTAAAAATACAAAAATTAGCTGGGCATGGTGGCGCATGCCTGTAATCCCAGCTACTTGGGAGTCTGAGGTAGGAAAATCTCTTGAACCCAGGAGGTGGAGGTTGCAGTGAGCCAAGATCACGCCACTACTGCACTCTAGCCTGGGCGACAGAGTGAGTGAGACTTCATGGACAGAGGTGAAGTGCAGCAGGGATTATTATGCCAGGGGCTCCTACCTACCTGTGACTTCTGCAGACACCTCACTTTGCACAGTAGCAGTCCCCATAGATTTGGGATCTGACTGGGGACTGTGTGTTCATCATGTTATTACTTACAGTGCTTAGTAATGTTTTCGATTTGAGTTTTCTTATTGAAGCAGACTGTGTCTTTAGAGACACTTTTATTCTGATTTTTTAAAATTTGTATTCAGCTTTGTTTTCTTTGCACCATTCTGAGTAAAATAATGATCCCTAAACTCAAACATCAGTGTATCAGGAAGCCATTATACTATAGAAATCCAGTTTAATGGTAAGACTTCTAAAGTGAAAAACATCATTTTGTGTGGAAATAAACATCCTTTAATGTATCTGTTTGGCTGTACTTTAGTACTTTAGAATTTCGGTGGGGGGCATTAGATATCTTTTGCTATATTTCTAACAAGCTGTTCCTCCACTCTTCTTCCTCCCTATTCCCCTCAATTTTTTCAGATCACACACCCAGCTGGCTGCATGTCTCAGTTTATTAAGTTCTTTGGAGAACAGATCCTCATCCTCTGGAAATTTGCCTTACTTCGAAAGCGCATTTTGATATTTTCTCCCCCACCTGTGGGTGTGGTGTGCTATAGAGGTAACCAGAAGCCAGAGACAGGGGTGCTGCTTAAATCACAGGTGCAGAAACTGCTTGAGTCTTTGTATCATTGACCGAATTTGGAAGAGCTTGGGCCACATCAAGAGGTTGGGGTTTTAAGCCCAGGAGTGACCTGATTGGCTGTGAACGGTGGTGACAGTGTAGAAGATGGGTTGGATGACACTGGCCAAAGATTAGGGTCTGGATTAAAGCAGAGAAGATGCATTCTAGATGCAGTTACGAGAAACTGGACTAAACTTGTTGTCTCATTGGGTTGTAAAGGTTCTGACATATGTGAGGTTGCAATGGAAGAAGAGTCTAGAATAGCAAGGGTAGTGGGGCCACCACGTGGGGGACTGAGGAGGAGTGGGCCACTGGCTTGATGAGGTTAATGTGGGACGTGACGAGGGTGTGCTGCCGTGAGACCTTCGCAGCAGGAGTGTCTGTCCACCCTGCACAGCTGGGTTGGGACCTGTGGGCGTTTGGGCTGGAGATAAAGATTTGAGGGCGGTAGATTATTTCTCCACTGATATCTGAGATGGACGGCATTACCTGGGGAAAGTACAAGTGAGGAGGGGCATGCCAGGCACAGGAGGTGGACCAGAAAGGTGGAAGGACAGAAAGGACTGGGGAGGAACAGGCAGAAGGAGGAACTGGAAGACAGGAGGGTTTCAGAGGCCGGAGTTCTAACAAGGTCAAATTCTAAGCAAGACCAGCTAGACAAAGACTGAGAAATGTTTATTTGGTTTGGTAAGCACGTTGTTGACATCACCTTGAGGGGTCAGTTTCTGCTGTGGGACCCCAAAAGGCTTGCTACCTCCAGTGTCCTCAGAATGCCAGGACCACCTGGTTCCTGAGGCACCAGATAGCCTAGAGCAGGGGTGTTGAGGGAGGAAGATGGCCTAGAGCAGGGGTGTTGAGGGAGGAAGGTGGCCTAGAGCAGGGGTATTGAGGGAGGAAGGTGGCCTAGAGCAGGGGTGTTGAGGGAGGAAGNTGGCCTAGAGCCGGGGTGTTGCGGGAGGAAGGTGGCCTAGAACAGGGGTGCTGAGGGAGGAAGGTGGTCTAGAGCAGGGGTGTTGAGGGAGGAAGATATCCTAGAGCAGGGGTGTTGCGGGAGGAAGGTGGCCTAGAGCAGGGGTGTTGCGGGAGGAAG